GGTCCCCTTCAGGGTCTAGGGCTATCTCTGCCCCCCACTTCGGGCCTGGGACCCCACTCTTAGGGCCTGGTAGCTTCTGGGAGCTCTCCGTTCAGATCCTCAGGCCCAGCCTGTGAGGCCAGCCCTTGCAGGTTGCTATTCCCCCCCTATCTCTGGGCTTCAGTGACTTGAAAGCAGTCCTTGGTGGTTGCTTTGCATTGGCCGCTTGAGTTCATGGCTGTGCCTGGGATTTGGAAGGTGCCTGTGCAACGCCTGTGTTGTGCTGTGGCAGGGAAACGTGTGGTCTGAGTCAGTGTGCCTCAGGTGTAAAGGTGTTGATTTTATATTGTGCTGTGACTTTAGTGTGCTACAGCTCATGGTATCAAAGGGAAACGAGTAATCCATAAAAACCTCACTCATTACATTATGTGACTCTCACCTTGAGTCAATTGCCCTGATTTCTGGTAAGAGGTGGCATATTAAAATGCAGCCTCAGCATCAGACCAAACATGGCTTGCTGCAGTGACTTACAGTCACGTTTAGTGACTTAAGTGCTTAGTGTTCAGAACTGAAGACTATTTTCTCATCCTACTGTCAGGAAGAAGAAACTCTGTCCTTTATCAAAGAGAGCCTTGAGAAGAGTGACCAGCTTACGAAGAACATGGTAAGGGGGTCGTTGAAGTTCAGCCCTAATGTTGAGCCTGGGTTTACTTTTTTCTTAGGAGAATCTGTTTTCAGGGCTGTCATTGTGCCCATCTGAAGAATGCAGAGTAATGAACCACTTGCTCTGCATCTGTGTTTTACATTTCAGTGGCTGGGCAAAGGGGAAAACTGATGAATGTTTCAATGCTAAGTTTCTCTCCTGGGAAGATGAGGGCTCAAACGAGCTGTTGGCCTCATCTCTTTACAGTCTGTCCTCTCTCTCGGGAAGAGGTATTAATAGACCCCAGACTAGTTTGTGCAACAGCATCATGTTGTTGCTTCGTAAAGTCAGGTCTCGTTTGGAGTTTTATTTTGGAAGTGTTCTGTTTAAGAGGCAGAAAGTAATTATTGTGCTCTAATTGCTTGTAAGCCCTCAGCTAGTATACTATGTCCAGTTTTGGGTTCAGTGCTTTAAGAAAGTCATAGAGGCACCGCCAGAGAAGTGTCGAAAACATAATGTAGGAGTGAATCTTGAAAGAATTAAATTTTGGCCTAGAAAAGATGACATTAAGGCACCCTTTATGAGCTTACTAAGGTTTTCCACCTTCAGAAGCGATATCGCAGTCCCTTTTAAAAACCAAAAGTCTATGATGGAAAAGAAGGTTCTCATTATACTGGTCCTGTGCCTTCATGTTGTGCATCTCATGTTTGGGTCTTAGTGGTATGGAGCAAAGTGGCTGCCGGTTTATGCTTTTGTTGCTCTTTTTACCTAGGGCAGTTCCAGGCAGTTCCTCTGGATTTGTTTTCTGCTGTCAAATAAAATTTTGCTCCTCCTTAGTACTTCTTGGAACATTATCTTCACACTTTACATTTAATTCAAGATTGGCCCACCTCTGTATGGCAGGTGATCTGTTTTGTGATTATTAAGAGAAATTAGGACATAGAGGGATTAAACAGCCTGCCTAAGGAGCCATGGCAAATTAGTAGCCCAAAAAGAAGCTGGGACCTGAAGGTCCCTGATTGCCCTGCTCTAACTACTACCCCACTGCATGGATCCATGTGGAAGAATGTTTCTCTCTTGGTGTGTAGGTTTCTATCCTCTCCTCCTTTGAAAGTCGTTTGATGAAGCTGGAGAACTCGATCATCCCTGTCCATAAACAGACAGAGAACCTGCAGCGCTTGCAGGAGAACGTGGAGAAGACCCTCTCCTGCTTGGATCACGTCATCAGTTACTACCATGTGGCTAAGGACACAGAGAAGATCATAAAGGAAGGGTGAGTTGAGCAGCTAGATCTTGCTGGGGAGCTTCATCCTATTGAACTTTTGGGGTAGAGGTAGGGGAGCTGACTCCACACACCCATCATAACATTTCTTGTACCCTTCCCACACTCTTTACCCACCATCTGTCCACAATAAAGCTGCCTGACTTGACCTTCAGCAATCCCCAGAGGGCAAAGTCTGCTCAGACTCTGCACTGGTGTCTCTTCCAGGTTTTGCAGACATGCTGCCATGTGAATCTCACGAGCATTGGTGGCTTCTCTTCTTTCCTCCGCCCTTTTCCCAAAGGTTCTTCCTGCCCTGTTGATGTTGTCGCTGCATCCAGGATGAATCAGAACTGTTCTGGACCCTGCTTTCAGTCTCCAGGAGGGTGTTGTGATGGCCCTTCTCTGGGGTGGGATGTGCAGCTTCCTCTACCTCCCCATCAGGGCCTGACCGGGAGAGGAGGGCAAGGCTGAGAGTTGTGTGCTGCTCAATCATCGGTACTTCTGCGCTTGCTGCGTGGATTCTTCTGCACTTGCCTCTGCTGTGGCATTGAGTGGAGGCAAAAGGGAATCCCATGATCTCCTCCTAGTTGAAGAGAAGGGAATTGAAATTTTCCTTGTTATTTTTATCCTGAGTTTGGTCTGGTGCTTTCTTGATATCTTCTTTCTTTGCTTCTTGGGGCACTGCATTTTATATTTGGTTTTATATTCAGCCCCACAGGGAGGCTGGAGGAATACTTGAATTGCATGGACAAAATCCAGAAGGCGGTGGAATACTTCCAGGACAACAATCCAGACAGCCCGGAGCTCAACCGTGTGGTAGGTCGTGGGTCTGGAACCTGGCATGGGTGAGAGAGGGGCAGATGTAGCCCTGCTGCTTGCCCTCTTGCTGTGAGAGGCTGACGGGCTTGCTTGACGGTGAAGAAGGTGTTTGGGCACAGGTGAAGAAATGATTGGTTTGGCTTCTGTTTAAGTCTGCACTCAGCAGCATTTCTGCTTGTGGCATTTTGCTCTCTCTATGCATTGCACCGGTAGGACTTCTGAAAGCTTATCTTGCATGTGTGGTAGAGTAGATTGAACCTCCTCCTGAGTAGCTCTTGTCAGTCCTTTAACTGCTTGAGCAGAATGGGAGATCTGTTTCAATCCCACTTGAAGACTGAGCAACTCCCAAGCATTTTTTTTATTTAATTTGCTTTAAAAGTCTCTTAGTTACAGGCGTTGTTGGAGTTTGAAGCATGCAGTACTTGACAGTGGTTAGAAACGCAGCAGAAAGTACGTTCTTATGCAGAAATACTCGTGAGTGACTGATTACAGAAGCCCTGTGCTGCTTCTGTCCTTCTGCTGTTTTGTGCCAGAAATCCCTCTTTGAGAGGGGCAAGGAGTCCCTGGAATCAGAGTTCCGCAGCTTGATGACACGACACACCAAGCCGGTCCCACCCATCCTCATCCTGGACCTGATCAGTGGGGACGATGAAATGGAGACGCAGGAGGAGATGTCTTTGGAGCACCTCCCGGAGTGTGTTCTGCATGATATCATCCGCATTTCTGGCTGGCTGGTGGAAAACGGCAGGAATCAAGGTTGGTAGTGCTGCGTGTTGTTCCCTTGTAGTTCTGTGTCAGGTGAGTGCTCTCCAACTACTTACCACGTGTGGTTGAGACCAAAAGTAGGGTGTTAAGGGTTGTGTGTAGCACTGCACAGCTTGGCTTGTAGATTGCACGCCTTCAGCCATGAAGCCTCTGCTCAGGTGCTGCTGTGGCTAACAAACCACGAGTCACGCTGCTGTTGGTAGCTAGCAGCACTAGCAGAACTAGTGACTGCCTTAGTGGCACTTTTTAGGTGAGTAGTTCGGTCTCCTTTCAATCACCTTAAGATCCTGCTTTTTTTACAGCGTTTGTAGTGAGACTGAAGTGATGGTTTGTCAGTTGAACAGAGTGACCTCCTGGTGGATATGATGAGAGAAAGAGCTGTGTAAATAAAGCACAAATTATCTTAATGCATAGTCTGTCCTATAGCAGAAATCCATTTAACTTGCATCTGTAATGCCTTCTGATAGAGTTGTGACTATCTAGTGCTCAGATACTATAAATGTGCAAGACACTGGTCACTTATTGCCATTTGGGAACTATTTATGAACAGAAATTTTTGTACTAAATGTGACCAAGGTGGGGGAGGAAGCAGCACAGACTTTCTTCAGTCAGTACATCTCTCTTCTTTCCTGTTCTGCAGCATCAAAATCTGCCTACAGCTTTATACTCCTTTATTAACTTATCCTTTGGGAGTGAATGACTTTGTGGACTTGTTACAGGAAACCTGTACTTTCACACACACGTAGCTACTAGAATCACCCCCCACCTCAATGATTTACTTCTGAGTGGGGATTACTGTGCTTATTACTGTACGATGAACATCTTTAGAAGTTTCTTAAGAATTTTTCCATGATCAAAGGCATATATAGCATATTTTGTTAGCCGGTTTGTATTCTGCTTTCACATGATGAATGCCTCATTTAGTTCCTGAGTCCTGAGAATTGTGTAAAGTCTCTCATGCTAGAAACTGAGCACTTGAATTGACAATGTCTTGCACAAATGTCTCCCATCAGTTGCACAACTGATGTGCTCTTGGTAGTGGTGCACAGACTTAATGTTGCGTGTGTGTGTGGGGTGGAATGAATAGTGCAGGGGAAGGAAGAAGAAGAATTTTTTGAAGAAAATAGGAGAGGCTCTGGGAGGGAAAAACATTTACTTGGGGTCCCACATCAATGCCAGTAAGTCCTCTTAGGGGCACAGAGTGTTTCAGGAAAGGTTTGTTTTACCATATAGTGTTCCCTGTTTGTTTATAATCTTGTTTCTACCTTGTCTCCTTAGATTTCATGACTGTTTACTTCCAAATCCGCTCTGTCCAGCTCGACCGCTCCATCAAGGGGCTGAAAGACCATTTCCGTAAGAACAGCTCCTCCACAGGCGTGCCATATTCCCCTGCCATTCAGAACAAAAGGAAGGACACCCCCACCAAAAAGCCAATCAAGAGACCAGGTGAGTCCCTGAAGGGGGGATCACTGTACTGTGTATCCTCTTGCCTGGGTATCGAATGCATATCTGCAGGCCTTCTCACTGCTGAGGTAGCCTCTGTGTCTAAAGTGTGCTTTTAGGACAGCAGCAGGGGTGAGGTTTCAGAGATAAGCACCTCTTCTCTGTCCTGGATTCAGCATTGAGATTACAGACACTTTCTGTCTCTGTCAAGTCATCAGGTCTGTTCTCTGGGCAATGTAAAGGGAGGAGAGGGGCCCTGTATACAGGGAGAGAAAAGGCTGTTGCCTTAACAAAGGCGATAAGTAAAAAGAGACCCGAGAGGGCTATAAAAGGATATGATCTGAGAACACCTGTCCTCAGCCTTGGAGTATGGAATATAGACTGTGCCACAGCAAGATAGAAAACTCAGATCTGATAAAACACATCACTTGAATAATTAGTTATGAATAAATTACTATTGTGCTAGGAAACCAAGAACTCGTCGGGAGTTGAGATGGGGACTAGGTAGGTGCCTACAGAAATGAGATACAAAGTTGTCTGAATTTTGGAAGGGCTGTTAAAGCTTTTGCCTCGGCCTGTCTTTGGAAGAGCTATGAATGTGGCTGGTGGGTTATTTCACCTCTCCTCATAATGGAGTTTTGCTGCATTTTCTGCAGCTGGTGAGGCCAGTCACTCCGTTGTACCGGAGTGCAGAGCTGGAGTTCCCGTCTCTGAAATGTGCCATCTAGTGGGAGTACAGCCAGAAGGAGGGCCAGCAAAAGCTAGCACGTACGTCCCACAGCAGCACAGTGGTATTGTCCCTCTGTGTGTCACAGCACCCTGTTGTCTCCTCTGTAATAGTGATGAAAGTCAGAAAAGTTCATATTTCTGTGGGTTTACCTGGCCAATACTCCCCCACCCTAATATTTTTTCCAGTGTTGTCCAAATACTCTTACTGGGTTCAGGAAAATAATAAGAAATGTGGGTAGGGACTGGGAATGGATGGGGTGGGGAAAGGGAGGAAAAGAAATATCCGTTTTAATTGTGTTGTGTTTATTTTTATAACCCTGATGTGAATGCAGTCCTCATCCCAGGTAATGTGCGTCTATATGTGCGTGTGCTGGCCCTGGTGCTCGCTCTCTTCACTTCTGTGTATAGAGAGGCTTTGCTGGGCCTCTTCTTGCTAAAGCAGAGGGTGTGCCTGGGATATTTGGAGAGGGAGGGCTGCCTGGGGAAGGCTGTGACATCCAGAGATCACCCCTCTGGTCTTTTAAGATCAATGTGTGCCATTGCTGCTGTGCCCTGGAGCTGTTCCTGAAAGCTGATGTGCGAGTTGCAGTTGGTGAATGCAGTCAGTCTGCGAATTTCAGTGGATTTTCCCCTGCCAGCAGAGAACCACCTGACAAGGGGATGTCTCACCCCACACTTGGCTTTCCTCTGGAGTTTGGCAGGTAGTTATTTGCATAAGAATTTGCCCCCAGTGTTGGGAGACCTGTAGAGGACAATATCCTCCTGCTAAGGAGAACTAGCTATGCTGCTGATAGCAGAAAAACAGTGTTTAAAATTGCTCCTAAGCATGATGGCACTCATTTGCGTGTGGCTCCTGCTCAATGGCATGGTTACAATAGGTAAAAATTATTTTTGTGTGCTTCAGTAGCTCTCTACTGGAAAGATGCCAGACGGGGATCTGTAGTTGAGCCATGGGGAACTCAGGTTGCAGATGCTTCAGACTTGGTCCACAGTTCTCAGTTATTACCTGATACTGAAAAGATCCCTGGGTTTTGATTGCTGTGGAGTCAGCATGATCAGCAAACATTTCTGAGCAGCCTGCCAAATAGTAACCTCTCCCCTGTGCTCTAGCTAAATAGTCAGAGATGGAGGAGATTTTTTTTTCATGGGCAGATTAAAAAAAAAAAATCACTAGGATTTTTTTAATGAGTCTCAGATCCTGGATGCTCGCATAGAGAGTACAGAAAGGAGCCCACATGTTTGAGAGCACAAGCATTTGTTCCCTACAAACAGGGCTTCTCCAAGATGAATGCATTTGGGCATCCAAAATTACTTTTCATGATGAATGTCTCAGCTGTAGATTTGCCAGGAGATTTTCATATCTTTTTCCCAGTTTAATTGGAGTTTGTGAGATGGGCTGGGTAGGAGGCACAGAGCATGGTCTGAATGCACTTAGAGCTGACAGGGTATGAAGGAAAGAGCATTTCAAATGATCTATTGGGGTATTGTTAATCTCAAGAAAAAATAGTGGCTAATTTGTCTCCAATCTTCTGTGAACAAGGATAGAGAACCAGACTGTAGCTCTTGAAGGACAGGGGTGGTTAAACCTCATACACCAGCCATCTCTTATGGCTACTAAATTGTACTTAAGTGAAATTAAAAATGGAGGGGAAAAAAAATAGTCTTTGAGCAGAGATTCACTGGTTTTTCTGCAGTTCCATCAGCTTTCAAGGACAGCTCTTGAGGTGGAGGTCTTACACTCTCTTTGCACTGGCACAGTGGCCCTCTTCATAGAAATATTCATCTGGTGGTGTTTGATTCTCCTAGTTTTAGCCTTTGTTCAATTACGGACAAAAAATTTTTTTTCTGTGCTATTGCTTCAGTAAGTAAAGTCAAGTTCTGACAATTTGGGTTTCAGACAAGGGGGTTTTCTCACAGTTCCAACAAGTGAGTTGATTTCCTTAGTCCTTAAGGAAGAATATCCCAGTGCACACCCCAATGCACACTTTATAACCTGTTGCAAGGGATAAATAACAAACTAAATCTGATGTGCTATAACTTGTTTACCCACAAAGCAAAGCGCAGGAGAGGCTACAGCTAAAGGGCACATGAGGTATTAGGGACAGGGTAACAAGGCAGAGACCCCCCCCTCTCCCCCAGGTACTATGTTGGATTCTGGAGAACATGCTCCATATCCATGTGTTGTTTCAGAGGGTCTTTATCTCTCTGTTATTGTTTTATTTGTTGGTATATCCTGTACCGTCTCCTGTTGTTACAGCATGCAGTTGGAAAATCTGACTGCTGGAGATGCTTCTAAAGCAGAGTTGTCTCCTCTTAAATGAAACTTGCCACATCAAGTTGAACTGATGAAGCAATCTGTGGGCTTTTTTTATTTTTTTAGGAGTTTGCTGTTTGAAATGTCAGCAGTCTGTCTCAGAGGGCAAGTGTATTCACATTCCCAAATCATCCTGCTGCAAACATATGCACATAAAATATCGCTTCTTTGTGATGCCTGTAGACCCAGTGCTCCTTTTGTTGGCTTGAGAGCAAGCAGCTAGCTCAGCAGCTCTGCATTGCCAGGGAAGGATAGGGCCAGAAGATGCTGGTAGGGGTACCCAGCCTGGCTGCCTACAAGCAAAAGCCAGAGAGCTTTAGCCAGTTTTATACAGACTCCTGCAGCTGGTGCTTAAGAAAAGAGGATGTGTTGCCCTTCTACTTGGTTAGAAAACTGCCTAATGGAAGAGAGAAACAGGAGGACAATGTGCAATTGGAAAACTGTGCCTCATATATGCCCAAAAGCCACTTTATTTAATAATTGGGCCACAGGGACAAAAGTTTCAGGTGTTTTTTGACTTTGGGGGGCTTTGGGGGCTCTTTTCAAGCTATAGGGGAGCCCTTTTCCAGTTTACTTAATGCTGCAGTTTACCTAGCGGTGAGGTACTACCTGAAGGCAGGCTGTGGAGTCTTTGTGTGGCAGAATAAAGAGCCTGTTCCTGCTTCCCACTTCTTATATTGATCACTGCCTATCTTGAATGTGATGTTTTCATTAGTAGCTGAAATGCAGTCCCATTTGGTTTGCGAGCTGCCTAATAGGGGAAAACAATCATGGAACAAAAGCATTTGGCTTCCACTAGAATCCATTAAAGCCTAATTACAACGCTAAGTAAGAGGGATACAGCAGCACTGAAGCGATGCCCGTGAACACCGAACACTTGGTGTGTGTCAGCGTAAACACAGGTAATTGTGCTTATGCAAATAAAATGCAGCAGAGGGGTTTCAGCTCTCATCTGAGAAGAAACTGTCAGGGGTGGGCTGTGGAGACGTGCACCGCATACCTGCAAAGTGAGACCCTATTGACAGCAGCAGCAGTTGTACTGTCTGCTTGGTTTTCACACCGATTTACCCTCTTTTTTTATTCCCCTCCCCCCCCCCTTCCCCTGGATGCTTGAAAGTGGGAAAGAGGAAAGAACTGGTAGAAGAACAGTACCCGGGTTGAGCTGCTCTGCGTCAGCTGGGCCATGGAAACAGCAGTAAGAAAGAGCTTAGTGCATATCTCCAGAGCTTGCTATAGCCCTGCTGCTCAGAGGAACTTGCTGTTGTGCCCAAGCTCTTAAGGTTTCTGGAAGTAGCTAAGAATAAAGTGGAAGTGTTGGGTGTGAAGAGCATCGGGAAGCTTGGAAGAAGAGGCATAGCCCTCTCATTTGATCATATGGCAGAAGCTAGGAGCAAATGCATCAGCACAGCAAGGGTGTAAGTGTTCCCACCTCCCTGGTGTGGGTCTAGAGGGGAGAAGTTTCCTGCTAGAAGAATGTGTTTTATGGATATGATTTTTTTATTCTTTACTAAGTTGTTGAGAACAGTCTGAACTGGGGGAAGAAAAATGTTGCCAGTGAAATATGACGCTTTAGGAACCATGTTCTGTTATTTACTAAGTGCACCAGGTTAAGGCAGCTTGGTAATGCAGTGGGAACTTCTCTCTCGTGTTCTCCCCCATTAGAGATGCACTGTCTGGGGGACTTGAAGTTTCCTTCCCCCTGCTGTATATCCCTTTATGGGATGAAGCTGTCCTGTCCTGTCCCCTGCACCCCAGGATGCTGTTCTGCAGCAGTGTGTACTTGGGCTTCCCCTCAGGATTGTGGTCCTCAGCATTTGGGCAGCCGGCACTCATTTCCAGGCTGCACTGTGGCTCAGTTACTGGCGGAAGTAGGATTTTCTGCATGTTTGAAGTATTTATTACTTTAAAGCGGAAGAACAATTCTTAATTTTGGCAGCAGCATTTTTATTTCTTAGATCCTCCTCCATTTACTCAGCCCAGTTCTGTTTCATCTGGGTCTCCTATAGAAACTCCTTCTACCTTCCCAAAACTTTGTTCCCTGTTGTGCAGGCAACAGCAAAGCTCTGCTGTGAGAGGGTGTCCATGTGCTTGTGATAATTGGAGCTTGTTGCATGACGACTAACCTTTTAATGTGGAAACAGTGCTTAGTCTTCAGTTGTCACATTAATGCTTTGTTTTGTGCTTTCTAGCTGTATATCCAGCATTGGCTTTTGTTCAGTTCTGTCTGGTTTTTGTGTGTGTTAAGTATAAATCTTTTAACCCAGTGTTATTTTTTTTTTCCATGGTTTTAATTGATTTGCAGTTCCTTAGAAGAGAAGTGTCTTGGGGATTAGGGTGACTTAATACGAGTTAGACATGGGTGGGCAGCATCCATTATTCTATGATTCCTGTGATGGGAATTGCTATTGCAATTGCTCTCTCGAGCCCAGAGGTTGTCACCCTTTTATCGCTTCCTGTAACGCCAGAGATCATTCCTTGACTTTGCTGTGGGGCTCCTGATGGGTCTATATTGAGCATGCTCAGAAAATACCCCTCGGAAGGGCACCTCTTTCTGCAGCTCTAGCCAAGCGGCTGCGATTGTGGCTCTGGGGAGCAGGCAACATGTTGCCGTACTGCAAAGCCCTGCTTCCACAGCTGAGGAAAAGCAACAAACCTTGTAAGCTTGGATGCAGAGTGCCGGCTTAAATAAACTCATTACAGGGAAGGTTGTTTTGTTGCTTCCCTTCCCTGATCATGTTTTCTCCCCCAGCCATACCACCTCACCAAACTGATTTGAGTACTCCCTGATTCTGTAACCCTGGCTGGAATTCATGCCCCCACCCTCAAAGCAGGGAAACAGTCTGGAAATGCCATTGTACCCGCACACTTGGACATGAGTTTGGGGTTCACGTTCCTGTACTGAGCATACTCATTGGTGCCCAGCATCCTCTTGCTGGGCCCAGGTGACTTGCTGGTGGAGGGCTGGTGTTCTGGGTTTGTTTTCTTTCACTCATTTTCTAGGTCTTCTTGTCTCTTCTCTCTGGTTCTGGTGACAGGCACGATCCGTAAGGCTCAGAACCTTCTGAAACAGTACTCTCAGCATGGTCTAGATGGGAAAAAGGGGGCCTCTAACCTCATTCCTATGGAAGGTAATCACAGCTCTAGCTACTTCACCCTTGACTTTCTCTGTGTATCAGCATTGCTTTTCCAGGTGGCACTTCCATTAGCCTAGTGCTTGGTGGACAGCATTAGATAGGTACAGCTATCCTTGGGGAACCAAGGAGATGCTGGAGGGCCAAATTATTTTTCTGAATTCAGTGTCTGAATTTCAAAGGCTCTGTAAACTTGCGAACAGGTGGAGAGGAGTGTTACCTTAAAGCAGTTGACCCACCATAGCCACCTGGCTAATGGAAGCTCTGCTCTGATGACATCTGCCTGTGGTGTTTCTGTTCTCTTTTTCTTTTTGCCTGGACTTTGAGACATTCAGTTTCCTAGTGACCTCAAACTGATTGATGCTGAAGTGTCAGACCACAGCTAGTTCATTTGCTTCAAAGCATCTGTAAGACCTTTCTGCCTCCTGCTATGTATGCATCAAAAGTAGATCTCTTCAGCACCTACACTGTAGTCTACTAAATCCCAGATGGTGACTAACATCCCTCATTTGGGGGAAAAAAATTCTCGTGCTGTGCAGGAGATGGGCTTTGAGTTTGGATTTGTAATGCTTGCGGGTACAAATTGGACTTCTGGTGCCTGCTGTCCTATTCAGAACTTATGGCAGAAGGTTCAAGGGACTCCTGTGGCCCAAGAAATTACTTAACTCACGCTTGTCATCAGGTTTCAAAGGGTTGCTACCGCTACATAGCCCAGTAAAGGGATTTGGTCAGGTAGCATTCCTGGGACTGTGTTTAGGGAAAAAAGTGTCCATCAGATCAAATAAGCCAAGCTTGAAGCGGCTTCCAGCCAGTGTGAGCATCCATGCTGTAACCACCCTGGATAAATTGCGCCTTCTGTTTGTGCCGGCTGACATCTCACTAGGTCATGAGCATGATTTACGAGTTAAACACCTTTCCGATACCCTGAGCGACAAGCATGGGCCGGCTGCTGGTAAGTACCATGTTGTCACTTCATAACAAGCTGGCTAACATCCCTTCTTTTCAGCATGTTTCACAGTAGTTTTGTAGCCAGTGGCTGTTCATCTACGTGGGCAGTCCTGGAGCATGGGCCTTCTCTGGCTAAGAAGCTCTGGCTCTTCTCAGTAGAATTCACTCCTACTAATCATGCACACCCCAAGCCCTCAAACAGGGAACCCCAACTTTGTCCAACCAAAGACTGGTAGCCACCATGCTGAGGGGCACTTTCCTATAGGTATCTACTGGCTTGTTCGGTGCTGAAGTGAAGCAAGCAGGAAAGGGATCACGTGCGGGATGCAATACAGTGGGCTGCTCTCCACCATAGGCAGTCTGTAAAACCACATCACGTTTGCGTGTCCCCTGCCGACCATAACTTT